CTTGTGTCGCGTAAGTTTCGTCGGTACGAAGTTAACGGAAAATAAGTTAATTAAAAACGGAAATGTAACAATATTCTTAGAACCTCGGTTCGTTAGTACACAAAATACCGTGATTTGTACTATTTATCTAGTGCGAAGTATGGGCGTGACTGCCTGCAGGCTATTGTCTAATTCACTCAGCTCATTAATTAATTGCTTTGTTCTTTCCGTAAGAAAACCAGACAACCATCTCTTTTCACGCTAAATCCACTTCCTCCTAGAAAAAGCGAAAGTTCTAAACTTAACTTCAACGCCTCATAGCTTTCAAGTGTGGAACTGCAAAAAACAACATAATATTAAGTTTTACTTCGTAACTAAAGGGATGGAAAACGTATAGTACGTCCTAGTAACAGAAATTAAAGATAAAATAAGATATCCTAAATTACACCTATTTCCCCAGATCGTAGCAGTCAAACCCTAAGCTCGTTCCTTTTATTAAAATTTGATGTAACTAGTGGCTATATAGACATAGAACACTGTAAAAACATGATTTATTTGTCGCTAATTTTATGATCTGTCAAACAAACTCAGTTCACTAAAAATATCAATAATTTATGAATGTTTACAGCTCTGGTTTATATTTATGAACGATATTAGACATTAACGTAGTATCTAAATTGTAATCTGTGTTTAAAATAGTATTTTGTCTAAAGCACACAAGTCAGTAAAATAAGCATCATCTGGTGTGACGGCCATAAATATTTGCTTTTAAGTTTTTAATCTCGTGCAAAGCTATATTAGGTTTGATCAGCACTAGCTGTCCCTAACTCAGAAGCGATAGACTAGAGGGAAAACAGCTAGTCATAACCACCAACTTTTTTACTAATGAATATTATAATGCCCTCACGGCTAAAAGAATGAGGATGTTCAGTAATGGGAGGTTCAAGTTGAACACCCTGACTACCAGGTCATGACAGACCTCGACGATCACCAATTTCATCTTGTTTCTGGCAAGGTTTTGACATTACTAGGTAACAGACCTCCACGATCATCTGTTTCATCTTGTTTCTGGCAAGGTTTTGACATTACTAGGTAACAGACCTCCACGATCATCTGTTTCATCTTGTTTCTGGCAAGGTTTTGACATTACTAGGTAACAGACCTCCACGTTCATCTGTTTCATCTTGTTTCTGGCAAGGTTTTGACATTACTAGGTAACAGACCTCC